GCCCCATGTCCCTCAGCACCATCTCCAGGGCTTGGAAACCCCTCCAGGGATGGGGACTCCCCCCCTGCCCTGGGCAGCCTGGGCCAGGCCCTGACAACCCTTGCCAGGCAGGAATTGTTCCCCAGATCCAACCTCAGCCTCCCCTGGCACAACTTGAGGCCGGTTCCTCTTGTCCCATCCCTTGTTCCTGGGGAGCAGAGCCCGACCCCCCTGGCTCCAACCTCCTCTCAGGCAGCTGCAGAGCCAGCAGGTCTCCCCTCAGCCTCCTTTGCTCCAGGCTGGACACCCCCAGCTCCCTCACCTGCTCCTGCTCACACTTGTGCTCCAGTGCCTTCCCCAGCCCCTTCCCCTTCTCCCTTCCCCTTCCCACTCAGCTCCAGTACCTGCTCCAGAGCCCTGGGGATGATCCCTCGCTGTTTGTGCTCAGTGGTTGGTCCCATCGTGGTGTAAGTTTTTCCAGCCCCTGTTTGTCCATAGCACATGATGGTTCCTAGAAAAGAGTCAGAAGCACAAACTGAGGAGGAATCATAGAATCTCAGCCTTGTTTGGGTTGGAAGGGACCTTAAAGCCCATCCAGTCCCACCCCTGCACAGGCAGGGACACCTCCCACCAGCCCAGGTTGCTCCAAGCCCCATCCAACCTGCCCTTCAACACTGCCAGGGATGGGGCAGCCACAGCTTCTCTGGGCAACCTGGGCCAGTGGGACATCAACAAGAGCTCTTCCCTCAGATCCAAACCCCAGCAAATTACCATTATAGCCAGTTAGAGCTTGGGAGACTAATTTCTCAGCCAGGGCCTGGTAGGCCAGCTCCTGGGAGGTGTTGTGCAGGACCCCGTCCAGCCGGAAGGACCAGCCCGTCCGATGGTTGTTCACAGCCCCTGCCCTGGCATCTTTCTTGATTAATATCCTGATGGTCTGGAAAAAAAAATACAAAAAGAGTTGAAGAAAACATCAGTACAGGCAGGGAGAGCTTCAGCTGTGCTTGTCTGAGAAAGAGGAACCCAGCACACTGAGGAGCTGGAGGTTAAAAATGGCTTAAAAACTGGCAGAGGGAGCTGGAGCTGAGATGGGAGGGAGAAATTCTGTGCTGTGAGGGTGGGGAGAGCCTGGCCCAGGTTGCCCAGGGAAGCTGTGGCTGCCCCATCCCTGGGGGTGTTGAAGGGCAGGTTGGATGGGGCTTGGAGCAACCTGGGCTGGTGGGAGGTGTCCCTGCCCATGGCAGGGGGTTGGAACTAGATGGTCTTTTAAGGTCCCTTCCAACCCAAACCATCCCATGGTTCTATGTAGATAAATGAGCACAAATCCTGAGACTGTTTTCCTGCCCCCAAAGGCTTCTCCTGGCACTAGATGTTCTCAAAGCCTGGAGGCTCAGCTCAGCTCCTCCCCTTCCTGCCTGATGTTGTGTCCTGGGGAGTTTATGAATGAAGCAAGAGAAGGGAGGAAGTGACCCAAGGGGGGGCAAAAATAGCCTGGACCTCAGGGGAGCCCCTCAGGTTGGAATTGTGGCTACAAGTGGGAATTCCCCAGGGATCAGAGTCCCAGCCCTTGGAGGTCTGGTTTCCATGTTGGCTGATCCACACCCCACCCTCTGCCTGTGGAGAGGAGAGCGAAGGGAAGAGCTGAATCCACACTCCCCCAGCCGTCACCTGTGGCCTTGAGGAGTGGAAGAATTCCAGGGGCAAACCCAAAATCAACCCCCTCAAACCTTTCCCACTCACATTCCCTCCTTCTCTACCTTGTTGTCTGGCCCAAAGTTGATGATATCCTGAGCAAAATCAGCTGTTGGTTTGACTCGCACGAACGTCCGGACTCTCGGTTCCTCTGCAGCCATTTTAACTGGGAGAGGGGGGGAAAGGGAAAATAAAGAAGGTTTCAGTCCCTGGGATGAACTGGGATGATGTTTGTCAGGAAAGGTGGGTGATGAAATAGCTGTGTTGGAAAATAAAGTGTTGACAAATGTTCAGCTGCAGTTTCCAGCCTTTACCAGAAGCCACCGTGGGCGAACTGGGAATTCCTTCTGGGATTGTTCTGCCCAGGAAAGGGAGAACAAGGCAGAAAAGGGTCTCTCTGCTCCTGGTTCCTCTTGTGTCTCAGGCTCCTGGTGCTGGAGGACACAAGGTTTCCCTCCTCTGAGCCTCGCAAAACAAAGTGGTTGTGGGAATATGAGGTGGAGTCTCTTTTGTTTGCCGATTTCTGTGTGGGAAGTTGGTTCATGGAATCAATCCTGGGGTGGGTTGGGTGGGAAGGGACCTTAAAGCTCATCCAGTCCCACCCCTGCATGGGCAGGGACACCTCCCAGCAGCCCAGGCTGCTCCAAGCCCCATCCAACCTGCCCTTCAACACCCCCAGGGATGGGGCAGCCACAGCTTCCCTGGGCAACCTGGGCCAGGCTCTCACCACCCTCACAGCACAGAATTTCTCCCTCACATCTCAGCTCCAGCTCCCTCTGCCAGTTAAAAATTATCTCCCCTTGTCCTAAACACAAGAAGGGGGCAAAGCTGCTGGGGAGGGGGGCAGCTGTGAGGCAGCCCCTGGGATCCACACTCCAGGGAGGCTTTGGGAATGGAATCCCTCTGGTTGGACACAGGCAGGGCCACCCCTGCCCTGAGCAGAGGGGGGAGAGGGCAGCCCCAAATCACCTGCTGCCCCCCCAGGTGAGCCCAAAGCCCCTGGAGGGGGTGGGATGGTGACACAGGGGCCTAGGAGGGCTGGGAGAAGAGGTGGGATGAGGGCAGGAGGATGGCAGGGACACTGGGAATGCCCAGGATGTGCCCACAGTCCTGCTTGCTGGGGAGGGGGATGTGAGAGGGGGCTGTGGGGGCAGGGGAAGGGTCATCCCCAGGTGGGACATGACATGTGGAGGAGGTGAGGCTGTGGGGTGGCCAGGGGCAGAGCAGAGCTCCTGGAGACCTGGGCTGAGGAGGGGGGAATAACTGGG